TTGTTGTGGCTCTTACATATTCTGTCAGTGAATTAAAAATAAAATATATTCATATCCTGTAAACTGCATTTTTGTATAACTGTTTCTTGTGTGTGTGTGTGTGTATGTTTTTAATGGTTGGTTGAGGTCATTGTTGGCTTGAGAGTTTGCCGTTTGATTGTCTGTGGTTCCTTAAATATTTACTGAGGTCCTTGTGACAGCTATGACCCATCTTCACCTTTGTATTTTGTATGGAATAGCACCTAGGCCTCTCTAATCTCTTCAACAGGCTTGTAAGTATGGATCAAGCTGTATCAGACCTTTCACTCAAAGGGCAGCTAAATACGTGTTTCTTTACCATCAGCATCAACAGGAATTTTAACAGGTCTGTCTGAGACTGGACTAAGACTTAGTACATCCTAGATGCACTTGTCTTTCTATTGAGGCTTGTGTCCTCTACACCATTTCTCCAGTTTCTCTGCTTTGGTATCTTTTTTAAGTGCAGTGGGACAGAATATGATATTTCACATTGATCTTGCTTAGCCTTGGAAGTAATTTTTCCTGGACTTAATTTGACTGTTAAACTTGCTGCTTATACTTCCTCTATCTGTTGTCGGAAATCATGTGGCAAGCTTCCTCTGTTCATGGTACTCTCCCTTTATCGGAACACTTGTGTGATAGTTCTCTGAATTCATTCTCTTCTGTAATTCAGGTGGTTCCTGACAGCAGCAGGCAAGTGTTGAAAGCTCTTGTGCTGCTTCACCTGTTGTGACAAAACTGAAACATGCAGCTCTTCTGTAGTGTAAACATACATTTATAATCATCATTTCAGTAAAATGATACTCAGATACTTTACAAACTATTTTTGATAATTAATATAAGTCATCCCTCTTAAAATGCGTATATGGGATCTTTACTGGGGTCTATATTAGGGCCCGTGCTGTTTACTATGTATTAGATAGTGGGATTGAGTGCACGCTCAGCAAGTTTGTGGATGACACTGAACTGAGTGGCGCAGTTGATGCAGTAGAGGGAAGGTGTGCCTTCCAGAGGAAACTGTACAGGCTTGAGAAGTGTGCGCACATAAAGCACATGAAGTTCAACAGAGCTAAGTGCACGGTACTGCGCTTGGGTTGTCCCGAACATCAGCACAGACTGGGAAATAAATGGATTGAGAGTAGCCCTGAGGAGAAGGTCTTGGGGTTGTTGGCTGATGAAAAATTGAACATAAACCAGCAGTGCACACTTGCAATCTAGAAAGCTGACTGTATCCTGGGCTGCATCAAAAGAAACATGGCCAGCAGGTGGATGGAGGTGATTCTCCCTCTGTACTCTGCTCTCCTGAGACCCTACATGCACTACAGCCTTCAGCTCTGGGACCCCAGGATAAGAAGGACATGGAGCTGTTAAAGCGAGCCCAGAAGAGGGTCAGAAAAATGATCAGAGGGCTGGAGCACTACTCCTTTGAAGAAAGACTAAGAGAGTTGGGGTGTTTAGCCAGGAGAAGGCACTTGGGACACCTTGCAGCATTACAGTACTTGCAGGGAACTTGAAGACGGAGAGAGACTTCTTACAAGAGCATGTAATCATAGGACAAGGGATAATGGTTTTAAACTGAAATAAGGTAGATATAGACTAGATAGAGGGAAGAAATTCTTTACTGAGAGCAGTAAGACACTAGAATAAATTTGTGAAAGACGTGGATGCTTCTTCCCTGGAGCATTTGAGGTCAGGTTGGATGGGGCTTTGGGGAAGCTGATTTAAGTGAAAAATATTCCTGCCTATCTTTCTTCAAAAAAGAAAGCTTAACATAATACTTCCTGAGTTTTGATATGCCTTGTCCCCACCTATGTTAGGATTTTACCCCCAGTCTATTTTAGATACCGTTCTTCAGTGAGAAGAATGGACATGCTCAAGAGTTGTGGACATGCTCATCTTTCCATATCTTGCATAGAACAGGACGAAAAAAGGAGCAAGGGTTTTCCTTCAGTAGATAATAAAATGGAAAGCTTCCCAGTGTCACATGACAAGTCTGAGAACGCCCACAATGTAAATGTACGTGGGGACTGCATGTTTCACAGGTTGAGTTTCTAGTGGAAAAAACCCTCTCTACATAATATTCCCTTCTGCTGAGATTTGAAAGCTAGTAGTGTGAACAGGAGTCAGCTAGGCTGATGGTTCTTTTGCCTTTAAATTCCGTGAAAACAGAAAAAATTCTGAGAATTTTGTGTGAAAAACACACAAATCATCTTTTAGGTCTTCATGATTAAACAGGTTCCATGAAAAGTCAAAATAAAGTTATAAGAAGTGGTGTCAAAACAATAAAAGACAAATTAGGCTGATTTGGTTAAATCATAAAGAGAAGCATAGGATGGAATTGAGCAGTTTAGTACATAAAAATAAAACAAGTTAAGAAAAAAAACGTGAGCAGGAGCCATCCAAATGAAAGGGAAAAAGGGAAAAAATGGAGCTTGAAGACAATGCTGTAGGTAGAGCAAGTCATGAGATGTTTTTCCTGTTAAACTGTTTTCCTTCTAAACTAAAGAAGAGAGTGTATGAACATTGCTTACAGGAATTTGTGTATCAAATTTAAATATTTGAATAAATACTCAAATGTTTAATGAAACCATGATTAGAATACTATTATTATATGGGATTGATCTTGCAAAAACAGTTTATTGGAAAATAAACTATCTTCTTTAATTTTATTTATTTAATTTTAGGACTAAAGAGAATGGCTTCAAGTTGTGCCAGGGGAGGTTTAGGTTGGAAATGAGGACATTAAAAATCAGGCATTTCTTCTCAGAAAGAGCAGTCAGGCATTGGAATGGGTTGCCCAGGCAGGTGGTGGAGTCACCGTCCCTGGCAGTGTTTAAGGAGAGGTTGGACGTGGTGCTTGGGGACATGGTTTAGTGGGGTGAAATTGGTGGTAGGGAGATGGTTGGACCAGATGATCTTGAAGGTCTTTTCCAACCTTAATGACTCTACGATATTATGATTCCTATGAATGCTAGCCTGTGTATAATGAAGAATACTCCCTATGCAGCACAGCCAGGATACTATGGTAATTGTTTTTCAAAAGTGTAAGAGTAAGAAGGGATTTAATTCATATCATTTTCTCAAATCACAGTTCCTTTTGAAACTGGCTGAATGAATGCCTTCAGATTCATAGCTATTTGGGAGTAAGCAGATTGAGGCAATACGACTAAGTTTTCAGCTCTACTGAAAACAGTGACAGCATTTTATTTGAGTTTAGTGGAACTGGCTTGCTTCTTAAACATACATTTTATCTAAGGATGTATGACATTATTTTTTTATTATTATTATTCAGTATTAAAAAAAAATAATCAGAAGAACGTTTCATTTGTATTCTTATGTTGATTATGTTGATTATGTTCTTGTGTTGATTTCTAAATTCATAATTTAGAATTAAAAGAATTCAGAAACTCTGGGTTTTCTTGTTAAATAAGTCTGATCCCTGTCTGCTTTGAGGAACCATTCTGCATGAACTTCAGTGGGATTAGGTTCAGGCTCTGTCCTAAATCAATGCGTAATAAATTTGTTTCTTTAAAGATGGCAAAGGCAGACCATATTCAGTAAAAATCTTTTGGTCTTCAACTGCATCATTGTTCTGTTTTGTGACACATAAAACCTAATTAATTATTGAGAAACAGCAAATGGGAAATCAGTGAGAGCTTTAAGTGCATATAGGATAATATAGTCTGAGATGCTCTGGTGAGATCAATGCATATAGAAATTTGAGTTCAAAATTAAAGCTTAATCCAGCAAACCGCTCCATGTTTAGTACCTTTAAAAATACCAGGGATTCCATTTGGTCACAGCAGCCTACATGCACAGAGAATTCACTGGATTTGTTCCAAATTTTTCAGCTTTGTTATTTTGTTGATGGATTTGGCTTACAGACAGACCTTAACTTTATTAACTCTGAAAGGTGTTTATCTCATGATCTGGTTCCTATGCGATAACCTTTTTGAAAACAATCCTTATATGTTGCTTTTAACAGAAATGTCTGGTGGCTTGGAATTAGTAAATATTTGGATAAAAATTTAAAGCATAAAGATTGTATCTTTCATTTTTGTTTTTGCTCACTATCCAAAATAATGGTATTATTCAGAAACACATTGCAAAGAAATCAGTACGAATCCTTGAACATCAAAGACATAATGAGAGTATTCTCATATCACTAGCCATGTAATAGGATTACATATTCAAAATATGGAGTTGTCATTAATGAATTATGACTGCCACGTGACCACTGCTGTTATGAATAGCTGTTATAAAACAGAAAACATTTTAATTCAATTTTCAGCTTCAGATACTTGCATGTCAACTGCACAAAAACTTGAGATCCCATATTTGAATCATTATACCTAAAATTACGGAAATTCTTTTTTAAATGCATTTTTTAGCTTTCGATAAAAATCTACTTTTTTATTTTAGTTTATTTTTCTTTCAGTTCATTTTACTTCAGGACACGTATAATCATTGGAAGATAGAGATGGGAATTATAAGACAAGCTCATAAGATTTTGATATTTTTTGTTGTAATACTCCAAGGCTAAGGTTTTAATTATAATCAGTATTTAAATATTAGGAGTTACGATTAATATTGGTTAGTTTTTAAGTGTGAGGCTGAGAATTGCAGTATGGTCAAAAAGTAAAATTAAGTGTTTTGAAGCAGTGTAGTCTACAGACATGCTGCTGTAACTTCTTAACAGCACGGTAGACTGCTTTATGGAGCTGGTGATTACAAAGATCCACTTTAACCATTTTTTTCTTACTGGCAGGTGTCCCACTGGCCTGAGGCCAGCGGCTGTGAGTGTACTACAGCTTGTGGTTTACACCAGAGTGTAGAAAATGGCGACACCAGCTGGCTGCACATAATTAAGCTGATTGCCGTCTGACAACTTGCACTATGATACAGATATGTGATAAATATATAGAATATTTTACAAATCTGATCCTCTGACATATTTTATGTGCTTTTCTTCTCCTTAACAGATATGATATCTGCACTTATAAAAACAAGCCTTGTGGAACACTCGGTAAGATTATAAAGAGAAATTTCAGCTTCTATTTGCTGTTTGTTTCCTTGCTTTATACTCAGCTACTGATTTATCAGCTCATTAGATCTTTTTAAGTATATGCTTTCAAAATTTTGCAGTTTTATAAACATGCACAGTAAAAGGTAACCTACATGGATTTATGCTTTGATAGATTACAGGAATTTTAGATAAAGCGAGCTACTACTGGAGATTTCATCTCTGACAGCTGTAATGCTGATAAATCCTAGCAGATTACTCAGATTTACCAAGCAACAATTACTGGAGAGGACTATTTTTGTTTAACCTGTCTCCATGAGCTATTATAAAAAACAAACAGAAGACCTCAGGAAGGTTTAAAAAAAAAAACACACACACAGAGAAACCAGAAAAGAAACAGGCTTTGAGGTTTTACACTGTTGCTGTGTTTTACACAGAGAGTACAGCCTCAGACTTTTCCTTCCACAGACTTGGAAAAAAATAACAGTAATATAAATTATAGTGATATTGAAACTCCTTAAAACAGTGCTTTGACAATAAAGAAAAACACATAGCAATCCTAGATGCAGGATTGTTCTCTTTATACTTAAATTTGTTGGCAGAAATTACTTACTGTATCATAGTTGTTACCTGTAGTAGTGCTTTAGTATATGAAAACATCTAATATATGAAACGTTATTGAAAGACTAATACGGTATTTTTATATTTTTTTTCAAATGTACTCTGAAGTAATTAAATATATAATTCTAGTTCAGCGAGTTAATATTTTTAAGGTTGTTAATATTTTTTTCATAATGAGAGCTCATAACTGTATTTTCTTTGTCTTCCCCTGTACTACTGTATGCTTGATAGCCTTAACTCATGTTGATTTTTTTACAAGTACCACTCAAGTCAGCATGACACTTTTGGCAAAGGGAAGTAGTTTACATGAGGAGAAAGGTATCAGAATTTTTTTTTGCCAGTTCTAAATATAAACAATATTCACAGCATGTATTAGTAAAAGGCAAAATGTAATGATAAATTTCTAAATGTAATTGGTTTACTTTGACATCTGTGTGGAGGAGTCAAAACTGAAGAGACTGTTTATATTGATGTCAGGGTTGTCATTACAAGTGTTAAGAGAGTTTGAAAGGGAGTACATTCACCCACAAGCTATCTGATATTTATATGTGATATTTTTAACACACATCGTTCATGTACTAGTCCTCACTGTATCAGACTTCTGGATAAAGGCAGATTCTGCTTCACTTGAATCCAGTGTAACAGACAGGATAGACTTTGGCTTTTTTTTTTCTTTAAACCAAAAGGCTTGAGTAAATAAAAATAAAAACCACATACGATATCAGAGTATTGTTATCAGACCGTTGGCAGTAAAACCACAACAATGTACTTGCATTATTGGCATTGAATTCAAAAAGAGGCCAGCCCCCACAGTCCTCTTCTGCAAGGCATTTAGTATGCTTAAGTCCCACTGACCTCCAGTAGCTGAAGTTAAGCATATATTTAAGGGGTCTGTGAACAACAGTCTCAGATCTCAAAAGATCAGAAGAAATCTGAATCATTGGTGTTCCAGGAAGAAACGGAATTAATGGATTTACTGTGGGATAGATACCTCTTTCCTGTTCCTAGGGAGTCTTACATAGAACAGCATGGAAGAGATGTAGTTCTTCAGATGTCTTTGGAGCAGCTGTATGGCTGCAGTGAAACACAACTCCTTTTTTCTTTGATCTGAGATGTAGTCTGGGTTCTTGACTTGACCTCTGTCACTTTCTGCAGACATGGTATTTAATTATATATCATTAGTCTGGTCCTGTAAGTCACTTAGCAAGCACTCAGTTAAGAGATCTGAAGATAGAGATGACTTTACCACCTAGATATGGTGAACTTCTCAAGGAAACATGGTAGCTGTTACACAAGCATCACCATGTTGTCCTCAGAATGTCCTGCTCAATTAGAATGGCATAGTTTAGACAGGTGAACTGTAATTGTATTTTTTTTACAGGTTTCACGCAGCAAACAATGTACGAATTTTTCTCTGTGTCTAGTCCTTCTTATTCTGATGCTTCATCCTGTCCTCAGTGGTCATTGTCTACTGGAGTGATTTGATTTTGATGTTTTGATGGAAATTCAATGAGCAGACATTGTCCCCTTTTGCCCATGTTGGTTTTGTTCTCTAAGTAGTTTTGGTGTGTGCAGGTTAGATTTGTTTTGGATAAAACCAAGTCAAAACACATATTTCTTAAATGCTCCATATGTGCCTAAGGGAAATGTTAGGGTCTAAGTCACTGCTTGAACTGTATTCTTGATATGCACTGATACTATTTTTTTTCCTGTAGAAAGCTCTGAACCACTTGTAGGGAGGAAGTTTCACCTATGGGAGTAAACTAGTCCAAAGTAGAGAGTCCAACCCACATACAAAGATAACATTAGGAGCCTAATGCCAGTGTTTTACTCTACTGACCAACTCCTTCTGCTCCAAATTAATTGCTCGTGGAAGCAGGAAGCACTTATCTTATTACTGATGTAATAAGATGTCATCTTATTACTTGCTTGCTGATCGTTCAAACAGAATAGCTTGAAGTGCCTGCTCATTCATAAAAGAGTATAATTCTGTTCCCCCCCCCCCCCCCCCCCCAAACGCATTTTCCCAGCTATTGTTCTTTTACAGCGTAAACTGTGCAGGTTACTTCCTTAAAGAAAGCATTACTGCTGCTTTCGCATAAGAAACCTTAGGGAATACACTAAATAAATGTGATGCTTAGAGATTTTGCTGCTTTAGTAGCAGCAAATTAATGTCTGCAATATGTTGTGTGATATTCTGTTGCTAAAGAATGTGCAGGATACTGAAGAGCCATGTTCTGGAAATGCCAGTGGCTTGCTTTCTCTAAAAAAAAGTTTTTTAAAGCACTTATAATGCAATAAGGTTTTAATTCTAGAAGATAATGGGTGATAAATGGAAGAGACTTCCATGGTTAAACGAGTGCTTGTTATTAACTTATCTCCTCTCTCTTCATTGATGCATTCGATTTTGTTTTTATAATTTTTTTTTTAAGTACCATGTGGGGCTTTTCATAGCTAAAAAAGTTGCTTGTATGTTTTTATGAACCCACTAAACTTAAACAGATTTCTTTAGAAAAATAATGTGGATACATTTTGCTTTCTTCAGGCTCAGGAATGTTAAAATAGAAATGCTTTCTTGAATTCCCTCTCCTGGCTCAAGTTACTAGGTGGTCCCAAGTTACCAGAAGTAAAATTTATAAATCTAACCCCTAGTCTAGACATTTTCCAGCACTGACTGCAGTTCAAAAAATATTAATGTCTAGCCGGCAAAGTGAAATTCCCCCCAGTGATTTTGCAAATGACTAGAAAGTTAACCTTTTGCCAACTGCTCCTTCTGTGCATAGAGGTTATTAAAAAGAATCCAGGCATTTATAACTAGGGCTTTTAAGACTGAAACACCTTGGCATGACCCTTTGTGTCTCCTTCTGTTTATTCAGGCTTGGCCTCTGTGGCTGGAATGTGTGAGCCTGAAAGGAGCTGCAGCATTAATGAAGACATTGGCCTAGGTTCAGCTTTTACCATTGCACATGAGATTGGTCACAAGTGAGTGAGTTTAAAAAAAGACTATGTTTTAATGTATCACCTTTTTAATATTAGTTTAATAATAGATATCATTATTTTTTCTGCATGGCTGTACCATCTCTGTTCTGGTGCTCCATGTTTCTTGTATATAGTATTCATGAGTGGCAGTACATTTTATTTGGTATATATTACCAAGGGCTTTAACTTTAGAACTGAAGACTCATTGTTTACCCTTTGATTTCAGATTCCAGTTTAATCTGTGCTTTTGAGATTTGGCTCACACCCTCCTACTCTGTTTCATATTCTTAAATATTAGGCTTTGAAAAATTTCCCTCCCCCTCCCTCCACATTTCTTTATGAAACAAAAGTGGTTAAAAGTTTTTTTTGTTTTTGTTTTTCATTATTTTATCTTAAATATAATTCAAAGTATTCTGACTAAAGCATTGCTTCTGTTGCCAGTATTCATATGCTTTCAGTCATCTTTCACTCAAGCATGAATTATGTAAAATATTCATAACATCATCTGTATATTTTAAGCACTGGCATATCATTTTAAAGAGCATGATGATATGAGAGTGCAAAAATCTGAATGCAGATCAGTCTGGGCATATTTCAGGTCCTCCCTTGAAAGACAGTGCCATTAGTATGTTGTGATGACTTTAAAAAGGCACCTTCTATTATCAAGCGGTTTCCTTTTTGTTTATGTGGGTTGACCAACGCTGAGTTATGGATGATATGTTTTTCCAAACATTAGCTGATGCAACTGCTAAAAGTTCCAATGCAGACTGAAATGGAAGCTATCGATCTGCTGATCAAAAGCAGGAGTTGGAAGTAAACACTTATTTTCAGCCCACCTATCATGCAAGATAATTACTTGGCAAGTACGATCTCATATTATGTGTGAAAAGAACACTTTAGTTACACTGAAGTAGATGAATTCAAAAATTCAAAAGCAATTGTATAAGATCTAAACAAAAATAATTTAAAACACGTGTAATTCTTGTAATCTTCATTTCCTTCCTTCTTTTCCTTTACTTGAATTGAAAAGGATAGCGTAAAGAAAAATATATTTCCAATGTTGCGGAAAAAGCTCCTTCAAATCACTTATACATCTGAAAATCTTATTAATAGTAATACGTAACCTTGTGGTGAATTTGAGCCACATGTTCAAAAAGAAAAAAAATCCCCATCTTCATTCTAATCTGTATGTCATGTCACTACATACTTCATGAAGGTTATTCCAGTGAAGCATAAAAATAATCTGAGTGTATGCAGCTATGTTATTATTCAAAACTGGCATGATGACAATACTTGGTTTAAAAAACTGAGGCTTTGATTAGAATCTCAGGAGAAACTACATCCATAGGATATATTCTCTGATCATAGGCTTTTTGTTAACCATCTGTGTTTACTACAATCGATGTCTCTTGGCTTCTTTTACATAAGGTCTTTTGAAATTCTGAAATCTCAGCTCTTTGAGGTTTTCAACTTGTCCTGTAGCTTGAATGACATGTCAAATGGTGTTTTGAAAATAATATAGAAATCATATTCACTTGATTTTATTTGATACACAGTGAATTAAGAAAATCATACTGGAAGTATGGAGTTAAAAACTGACCTTTTTATGAGCTAGATACCTTCTATAAAAACTAGGAAAAATATGTGGGTAAAAGACCTTCAAGATTTATATGTTTTGTGCTATCCACACATCACGAGTGAATGGGAATTCACTCGTAATGAGACTGAATGCCTATGTGACTAAATCAAGGAAGTTATTACTTCCTTTTGTCTTCCTCTTCCCTTCAGTGGCTATTATTAAAGTATGTACTAGAAGGTACTTGCCTGTGTGTAAAATAATAATTTCAAGGAGTACTGTAAACTTTTCTTTCGCCATGCCAAAATGATAGCTTTTCTCTTCAGACATACCTGGGAAATAGGAAATTGGCTTCATTGTCAAATGAAAGATAGAAGCACTTAAATGACAAGTCTACATTGAATATATGATTTACAACAACAACAACAAAAAAAACACTTTATTAATTTAGAATATACTATGGAATGCTAAGTTAAAAAATGTTGAGCTGAGGAATAAAATTCCTCTTGTGATTAAGAGACCAGTAGAGATAATACAGATAGATTTTTCCGTGATTTCTCCAAAAGTGGCATTATAATACTTCTCTGATGGAATTATGATTCTATTTACTAGTTTCTATTAGGTTAATAAATTTGGGAATTAAAGGAAGGCCTTCCAGAGAAGAGCTTATGGATACTAGTTGATGAACAGTTGGACATGAGCTGGCAATGTACATTTGCAACCCAGAAATCCAGTTGTATCTTGGACCACATCAAAAGATGCATGGCCAGCAAGTTGAAGGAGATGATTCTTCTGCTTTGGTGTAGTGTGACCCCACCTGAAATACTGCATCCAGCTTTGGGTCCCAGTAGAAGAAATATAGGGACCTGCTAGAGTGAGCCTAGAGAAGGGCCGCAAAAATTATCAGAGGGCGGGAACACCTTTCCTATGAAGAGAGATGGGGTTGTTTAGCATGGAGAAGAGAATGTTCTGGGGAGACCTTCTTGCAGCCTTTCAATACTTAACAGGGGCTTATAAGAAAGAGTTTTTACCAGGATGTGTAGTGACAGGACAAGGAACAATGGTTTCAGACTGAAAGGGAGTAGATCTACATTAAATGTATGGAAGACATTTTCCACTGTGAGACTGGTGAGGCCCTGGCACAGGCTGCCCAGAGAAGCTGTGGATGCCTCATCCCTGGAGGTGCTCAAGGCCAGGCTGGATGGGGCTTTGGGCAGCCTGGTCTGGTGGGAGGTGTCCCTGCCCATGGCAGGGAGTTAGAACTGGGTGAACTTTAAGGTCCCTTCGAACCCAAACCAGTCTGTGATTTTGTGAAATGATTTGCTGATCTGGTCTGACTTTCTGTATATCACGGTATAGTACATTTAACTGATTTGCCCTTGTATTGATCCCAGTAACTTGCATTTGGTCAAAGTTTTTTTATCCAGAAAAGCACTTAGTCTTGAAAACTTAGAGACAGAGAGTGTGAGTGTGATTACTATGTCTTGTCGTACTTTCCGTTAAATATTTATAAGTAATTTTTAAAGTATCTTTTTGGCTTCCTTACAGTTTGTAGCTTTTATATGTGTATATCTTAGTTTTTGTGCAGATAAGCCATGTGTAGTCAAGACTCAAACCCAGCTGTTTTTATTGTAGACATCCGTAACACTTTGATTAACTCTGTGTTGCATAAATAATGGTGATAGACTGAGTTTTATGGTTGTTTCTCTCTATGTATGGTTTTGAGAAAAGCCTTGTATTGATCTTAATACTTCTGTTAATCAGATAAAATTCAGAGTGGGCCACTCAGGCTTCATAATAGTGACTCTAAAAACTTGATTTATAATGCTTGACTTGCCATTAGATTATGTATTTCACACTGAAGAAATACTTAAGATTTCTGGTAAGCAAAAGTCAAACCAGTCCGGATTTCCCTTCATGGCAGGAGTGACAACTGAGTGTGTGTAGCCCCTGCATTGTCAAACAGTTTGACTTTCTCTTTGCGAAGAAAAACACTTTGCAGGCTTGAATATGCTGTTATGGTCAGACAAGTGTAACATACAAGATCCAGTCCCATTTTCTGTTCCTACCAGCTGAGTTTGGTGCCTTTTCAGTCTGTACTTTTTTTTACTAGGTTACTTACTGAACTGCCGAATTTGCTTCATGCGTGCTGTACAGGATGCTGATTTAACAGATAAGGTTCCTTTGAATGGATGTCCCTAAAAGATAGATATAATGATATTCATTGTTGCAGTCCTACAGAGTTAGCTGAGCTCTGGAAGCTAAATAACAAAGGTAAAAAGAACAAGGAAGATCAAAGAGGAAAAAACCATGAGATGTAAAAACGGGAGGATGGTGGACTGAGCTTAAAACAGAACTACCCATAAAATGCAAAGTAGGGAAAAGATTTGCCAAAGGTAGATCTCTGTTGAAGGTTTTATGAGCCAGGGAGCCAAAATGAAAGTCTGGTGTTCAGCAGTTGTATCTTGATGAAAATTAAAAAAAAAATAAAAAAAATAAAAAAAAAAATTATAAGCTAATGAATTAAATTGGCTTCAAGATGGAGAAGATCGTGTTTTCTAGGAGGATTTAGTTCTGAATTAGTTCATACAGCTAAAATATACCTGCAATTGTAGCATTTTTTGAAGTCTTTTTTAGTCCATATGCAAAGTAGGAAAATAGCACAAATAACCCCAGCTGCCCATATTAGAAAGTTGGTCTTCAGTGCTGGAATAGAAATTTCTAATTTAGGACAAAATCTTCCTGGAGGCATTTTCAGGGAAGCTTTTGTCTTTTCCTCATTCACTGGTAATTGGTGAGCTTTGTGATTGATCAGTAAAACCTTGTCTGCTTTATAAGACATCAGTTTTAGAATAAGATATTTCCTGGAAGAAATGTGTGTATGCATTGTAAAAACCACCAAGAAAATATTGCAGTCTGAGGGGCACACATACCAAACTTCAAAATACTTAAACTCAGCAAGGATAAACTGTAGTAACACCATCTCTCATAAGCTCTCCCATGAACAAAACAAGACATTTTACAAGGGCATGTAGTAATAGAACAAGGGGGAATGACTTTAAACTAAAAGAGGGTAGATTTAGATTAGACGTAAGGAAGAAATTGTTTACTCAGAGGGTGGTGAGGCCCTGGCACAGGCTGCCCTGAGAAGCTGTGGATGCCCCATCCCTGGAGGTGCTCAAGGCCAGGCTGGATGGGGCTTTGGGCAGCCTGGTCTGGTGGGAGGTGTCCCTGCCCATGGCCGGGGGTTGGAGTTGAGTGATCTTCAAGGTCCCTTCCAACCCAAACCATTCTGTGATTCCATATGGTTTAAAAATAAATAAATAATTTAGCCTTCTATTAGCGTAATAACAAAATAATACTTTTTCCATATCAATTTTACTATATTTCATTGCTAACAGGTATGAAAACAAGTAACAAAGTTACCATATATATCCACACAGGAATTGCTGTGTGGGTTACATCAGTTCATAGCTCTGAACTGATATTGTCCAAAAAAAAAAATTATTCTTTAATAGTAGATTCTGTCTAAATTCATGCTCTTTTTGTTTAACAAGAGAATGCTGAAGCACTCTAGTTTTTCTTTCTTTTTCCTCTTTTGACGTTTTCTAATGTCACTAAGAACAGATAATTTTTTTTTTTTTTTTAAAGAAAATTAACAATTAGCTTCATTGTATCTGTAAGCATTGCTATAGCTGTAAAGCAGGCTGCACACAGACATTCAAAGCTATATGAATGCACTCCTTACTTTTAATTAGATAAAATAGAAGATTTCTGAATATTTAAATTACATCTTTTTAATAATTACTGGAATAAGTACAACATAATAGAAACAAAATGAATGCAAAATTTATGAAAAAGTTGATACGCCTTTCCTAAGCAAATAAGGTGGTATTTCTTACAAGAAACTTACCGTTTGCTCTTTATATTTTGTATCTAATACAAGAAGACTTGTTTAAGCATGCCTTCCATCTCACTGTAGTATTGATTTACTGTTAGAAATTTTGAAAGGATTATTCACTTGTGCACTTTTTTGACCCATCCCTACGCTGTGCTTCATTCTCCATAATAGTTGTGGAAGTATTGTGTAATGTGCTGAGACAGTCAAGGAATGTCTAGCAATATACCTGGGTCAAAATACTTAGCTTGCAAATGACCCATTCCAGTCTTACTGTACATGTTTGGTTTGTATTTCCTAGTGCAAATAAGCTAGTATACTAAAACCCATTAATGTCAAATTTTCTTTCTTCTTTCTCTTGAAAAGATATATTTTTCCTAAAGAGTCACACAGAGTTACACATCTGTAAATCAGCTTCTGATAGCGGACAGCAATATCAAGAAATTCATTTTTATTGTATTTCTTTTGCTTGTATACCTGTAACTTAGTTGCCTGACTCAGGAGAATCAGTTTCTGGTACTTTTTTCCTTAACATACTTAACAAAGTGGCAGAGCAAAGTGAGAGCCACTGATTGACCAGAATTAGGCCAAATTCTCCCATATATACTGTAACTCATGAATCTATAAGTGACTAAAAATTAATTGTTTTATTTAGAGAAAATAAACATTAGAGATCTGCAGTTCTGAATGTTCCAAACTAGGCAATAGCTTGGTGTAGAGCTATTAGTATTACAATTGGAAAGCAGAAGTAATAGACTGTGAACAAATAAGGGAAAAAAAAAATAATCTGAGTAGCACATTTCAGATGATTTCTGTGCTGTAAAAGTACATGGTATATGAAATAAACCTCTGTAAGCAGTACTGAGGAGCATTCAGATTGGTTTGGATCTGTCTTCTCAGAAGTGTTTGCTTAATAAATCAAAACAGAGGTATCCTGGCTGTGCCACAAAAATAACTGATGTAATTTCAGACACATCAGCAGTAAGTGTTTTGGTAGCTCTTACCATCACAAGTTAGAACCACCAAGCAAATCAGCAACCTCACCTTAAATAAAAAAGAAATTGTAGGGGACCTGAAGTATTGTTCCTTCACAAGGTAAAAGGGAGGATAAACAAGAAGTTTATGTTCACATCCTTCCCTCTGCTTTTACTCTAGAGTTTCTGGTTATCTGTTGCTGTTTTATTCAATGCAGCTGAGACCAGTTAACTCCCCTGTGATTTTTGAGGTCAGATTTTAAGTTCGATGTGTATTACAAATAATTCTCTCAGGTTTTTTTTTTCAGATATAAAGAAAAACAGATTGCCAAGAAGAAGTGTCTGTCCTATTGCAGATGTTAATAAATGAAACAGACACAGAGCACTAAACAGATGTGCTGCCCTCTAAGAATTTTTTGAGAAGTGTAGAAACTATAGAAAATATTGCAGGAGAATTTAAATTATGATTTTTACTGCTACTTTGCACAGTTCTTATATGTAGTGTGAGCAGAGAGAAGATTGGAGAAGAGTGGACATAATGCTTGAAAAAAAAAGAGTGATTCAGAGCTGCTGAGCTAAACATCTTTCCTTGAGATGGTAGGCAGAAAGGTAACTTCAGAGAAAGCTCCCGTGTCAGTTAAGAAGACTTCTCACTGTCTACTTGCTTATCTGCCTGTTCCTTTAAAACCAAAATTACATGGGCAGTTCTAGACAAGCTTTTAGAGCCAGTGAAAAAAATACAGTGTTAATCTGTTTAGTCATTTTGAAAAAGACAAGTAAATTATAATACTGCCTCCATTAAGACTATTTTGTTCCTTCCTTTCTTCACTGCCTTCCCACCCCAATCTAATTCCAAATATACTTTTTTGAAAGGTGTACCCTTAGTGTAATGGTGATCAAATATAACCAACATGTTCTGATGGAAATAAAAGTAGTACTTTGGACAGAAATTTGTCTTCATCTGCAGTCCTGGCTATAGGAGTGCAAATTACTAGGCTGTAAGTGCATGCTGCCACTACTGTCTATGGGAAAAGATGACAGTAATTACAAAACTCCTGTCTAAACATCAGAAATATTATCTGAACCTAATGGCCAGTTCTCTACTAAATTCAGGAGCAGGGGCGAGTGGAATAGCCTTTGTGTAAGGGAATAGATGATTTAGATGAATTAATATTTATTATTAAAAAAAGAGTAGTGCATTTAGCTCATGGAAAAGCATTGTATTCCCGTGTGCATCTGGAATAGCAGCTTCCATTCACAGATTTGCATTTTACTAGATATACCGCTGCCACCATGTGCAACTTATTTTTCACAAGGAGAGCTGGTAGAAGGAAAGATATTTAACTATGAAATTTGTTCTTCTTTTTGGTAGGCCCAAAAGACAAAATATGCTTGGACTCTTTCATTTCCTAGACAGTTGGAGTTTCTGTGATTTCTTTGACAAAATAAATATATTAACCAGGAATAAGTTGGGTATCGCAGATAGTCAGTAAGACCCAATTGAGCTCTTTCCCACGTAGCAGAATGTCCATTTCTGTAAGGAACTCTCATAGAGACTTAAAACATGATGTTTTCTATTTTAAGAATCGTACATAGGTAATTCAACAAGAAATGTTACCATTTCAGGTACCCCTAATTCTAGGAAATTATGGCAGTTGAGAACTATGCCAATAAAATGCTTTTTCATTATTAGCTGATGAAGTGTGTTGCATTGGACTTCTAACTCCTTAACTTACAAAATATATAACAATACCTTTCCTATGCATAAGGCTTTCTGCATTTTTCAGACATCACACACTAAACAAAATAAAAGCAGGCATTGCTGCATACTGTATTACATGGGGAGATGTCCCGTAGGCATAGATTGATGTATATTCTGGCAATCAGAATAAAAAATTTCTAGAAAATAAAAATGGAATGCTTCAGCACATTTGTATACCTGAATATTAAGTACAAAATCAGGGGGTCAGTCTTAGCATTTGTAACACAGAGGACTCCAAGGACTGGTCTCATTGTATGACATATAAAAAGTGACAGATGCACTGCTTCCAGCTGCAGCTCAGTTTTGGTATTCCCTTTGACTACTTCTCTGTCTGATGCTCTAGGAAGCTCTTCTATATCTCACTACCCGCCTCTTTGATCTCGTAAGCCTTGTGTCATGTTTGGGAAGGAGGAGCTAATGTGTCCAAAAGTTAATATTTAAAAAAAATAAGATATTTCCTCCCAAGTGACAGAGAGGAAATGAATCAAAGGCAGACTTAGAAAATGGAGTTAAAAAAAAGATGTATACTATTACAAAAGGTCATGGTATTCTATATTCTCTTAAAATGCTTCATTTATGACAGGTCAGTCAAGTATATGTTGTTGGTTGTTTAGGGATAACAGTAATAATTTCATTTTAAAATAGTTTTGTATATAGAAGGAAAGTCTTTTCAAATAGCTTTTCTATGAGTTAACCTCTAGTTTTAATTTATGTTGGCTTTCTGTAGCTCAAAGGGTTTGTTTCAGTAGCATGGGATTTCTAGAGCATAAAGATTATTTTACTGTATATTTCTTTCCAGAGTCATGTCATCTTTGTTGAAAGTTAATGAATTTGTTGGCTGGAAGTATCTGCTGGCCAAATGCCACTCAGAGATTTCTTACTGTATTTTCTGCTGATTTTAAGTGTCCTTCACTCTGAAGTTCCATGACAAAGGAGAGCTCTAATAGAATAACTGCAAGTCATCTGTGCATTGGAAACATAGAGGGAGCTTGAATACAGAATGGCCTTGGGAATTGCAAAACTCACGTTCTGCTTGAAATATCATTAGCTACTGTGTGCTTATATGCGTGCTTATACAGCAACATCGCATACCCTATTTGTCTCTGTTTACTAATAGACGTGTTAGTGACACAATATATATTCTTTACCAGCTACAATACCCAAATAAAGACTGATTGCTCGTGATTTATCTTGAAAGAGTAATGTTAAATTTTAGAAAAGAAGTAAAGTCCTTTCAGGACCCTTTAAAAAAAATGCTATGTAATTGTGCAATATTCTGAGATCTGAATAAACTAAACTTAACTGATCCTAATTCCCCATTTGGAGTTCTCTTGTATTCTTTTAGGCCTAAATATGATTTCTGTAAAAATCACATTGTTTATGAGATGTCTGTTTCTGTAGAAAAATAATGGGCTGTTTTTCTTCTCTTTTGGGCAGTTTTGGTATGAACCATGATGGAATTGGAAATTCCTGTGGGACCAAAGGTCATGAAGCAGCAAAACTAATGGCGGCTCATATTACAGCAAACACCAACCCTTTCTCTTGGTCAGCCTGCAGTCGGGATTACATCACCAGTTTTTTAGAGTAAGTAATCTCAAGAAAAATCATGAGTTGTTCCAAAAAATCACACCTTTCGGAATAAATAGTAGAGATACAGTAACGTGTTCTTTACATTTTCAGAATGTAAAGACAGAAGTATAACAAGTCCCTGAACTCTTACAGGGTGCTTTTCCTGTGTATGGGTAAAAGTTTCTTCTATTCCATTCCCCATTTCACAGTGTTGATTTTTAATCTATTCAAACATTTTAAAGTGCTGATCATATTTCATTGCTTAATCTTAAGGTGAGAAATAAAGAAATGTGGAATTAGTCAACGAGTGATGGGAAACATTTTTGTTCTAAATTGTGTATAATGTGAGGATATGCGTTGAAGGGAACAAGCTTCTAGCCCTTATCTTTGTGCATTTTATTCTCCTGATTTTTATGCCATCTTGCTTTTTTTTAGTCTGTCAATGTTTATTGGCACCTTTCATAAAAATATAAAGATCAGAGGAGAGGGTAGCATAGATGTTTATGTTAATATTTTTTAAATGTGCTAACCTATACTTCTGTGGTGATTTTATTCAGAAATAGGTTCCTATCTTAAATTTTACCTCTGTATGAAAGAATTGAAACAGTCAAAATGTGTTATTTTCAAAAATGTGCTTATTGATATACGTGATACCTAATGAAGTCTTTGTATGTAATTAACCTTTGGAAGACAGGCACAGAGTTACGAGATCACTGAGAACAAATTAATAATAGTGTTTTTTAAAATGTACAGGAGATGGGGTCTTTATGAGAGCAGATGGAAGTTTGTTGATAAATTCAGTGTCATCAGTGTAATTAGTCCTTTAAGAAATAAAGGTTGGTGAAGAAGTCAGTCTCTGTGTTTTAAGAGAAGTAGTCTAACAGTTAGATTACCAACAGCAAAATGGACTTTATCCAACTCTTTTGGGGATCTAACTTTAGAATAAGGTGCTGTATTCTGAATTGTACCTGAAGGGACCCATATAGACCAATGAAGTTTTCCTTTTGTTGGTTAAGACGTAGCTTCTCTCACAAAAGTACAGAAACAATGAATTGTGTCTGTTGGCTTCCTATAGGGTCAATGGGCAGGATCAGGTGTGTTGGTGTTAGGCACGGTCCAGAGGAAATTACCTCTCTTCAGTTACTTTATCAAGTTTTTATCACCCCACTGAACTATGAACCCATGAAATTTTAAGTGCTGGAGTGTTTAAAATGAACACCTAAACTAAACTGTACTGAATAAATCATTCTACATGTGTGTGATACAGGTTTTTCACAATGTAAGTTGATTTTCTGAGGTTAGATATATATATTCATTTAACACTAGCAGCATAAAAAATGACAAGATCATCTTGTTTTTATCATTACCAATCATATCTGTTAATTCAGTTCCGTTCCATTTAGTACTCTTTCTAGCTATTACACAGCCTAGTTGTAACTATTACAAAGAACAGGGTTTTCTCATCACTTCTGTGAGCTTTTTTCGCAGTTCAGTAGTCCTATCTATCAGCTTACATTTCAGGCATTTTCTTGTAGCATTGAGGGTTTCTTTCTTACTGTTACAGTGCTGCTGTTCTTAGTCTCACCTTCTATTTGTCACTGTCTTCTGCGCTGCATTTTAAATTTGTAATTGTCCTGAAAATAAGTTGTCTGTTGATGAAGACTGTTCCACAGGTAGTTATGCAGTCATTTTTTACTTATGTGCTTAGAGAAGGAAACACATGGTAAAATTCTGTGGCTTGTGTTATGCTGCAAATGTAATAGAGCCAACTATTTTATAAAAATCTCACTCTGAACAAACTCTCTTGTTTCTTTACTTGTTATCTCCATGTATAGAGTGATCTTTCAACTTTTTGCTTTATATATTAAAAAAAAAATGTTTACCTTGTGCTTCCTCTTTGTTTAAATGTTTCTATATATGTTATTATTTAATCTTAGCATCCACATTATTCTTTTCCATTCTGCAGGTTTGATGCACTGTTAAATTTTATTTTTAATCCTGTGAGATGCCACTGAAATTTTAGTTATATTGGCATTAAGGCAGAATAGCATTCTGGTGAATCTGTTCTCTAGTTCTTATGTCTTCAGGTTTTTTGAGATACTTCTGTGTCATTGCCACAGTTTTCAGCACTACTTGAATTATTACCATCTGCGTATTTCATAACAATCATTACTGAAGATTCTAGATTAGCTAGAATAAGAACAGAGCAGCTCCAATACTAAGTTATCTCCCACAATATTTTATCTTTATTTTCATAAATAAGAATGTGTTATTTTTTTCAAATCCACCTTGGATAATCATTCTTTTATGCATTTCAGTTATGAATAGAGTTCCCAATTGTGTCAAATACCATCATAAGTAATGTATGAAGAGCCAAAGACAGTTTATTCATCTACTGATTTTGCAATCTATCTTTAAAAAAGTCAGATTTCTCAGACATGATCTGTTCATGATAAGTCTGTGCTTCTTATTGTCTGTGGTTTTAATAGCTTAGAAATGATTTTTTTTTTTCTTGAAATAGTTGTTGCATTATTTCAGAAAGTAAAATAGTCTCTAACAGTATAGTTTTTTTCTCCGGTTTCCATTCTCCTCCTTAAGTGTCATGTCATTTCAATGAAACCAGGAAGCTGTTAAGATAGAGTTACAGTAGGACAGCTGTCAGAAACTTAGATCACTTCTTTTATTTATTTATTTATTAACCTATTCACACCTTTCCTTGATGCAGAACAGCCTTAATTGCAAAGACTTTGCATTTTCAGGTAATGGTCTGTGAGCAAGAAGCAAAGAAAACTACTCAGTCTCATGTAGTAGCAATTCCCTGACTGCCCCATATGATTTTAAGGATGTGATTAAAGACAAAGCAAATTTGTGCATTGCTAATAAGTCTATCAAAACTCCCAAGAATGATGACCTCCTAGCACAGTCTTTGAAATGGCTAAGGAGAGCCATTTTTTTTCTGGGGAAAACATTCAGCACAAAATAGCTGTTGTCTGTCAAGGTTTATGTTAGAGTGAAAGATTGACTGAATTCAATTTATCAACTGAACAGTTTATGAGTGCTTGACAATGGCTTTAAATTTTGTTAACCTTTTTATGTAATGAAATGCAGAACGATTCCATGAGATTTGGAATGTGGAAGAGCATTGTCAGAGGACAAAGATTCCTGTGAAAGTAGAAATCGTTAATGTGTTTTCATAGGAGAAAAGAACCAACCCTAAAAATGTTGTCTGTGATTGAAAACTAATTGGTATAAACTTCATTCTATGCAGCATGTATATATATCATGCAAGTTTCATTTTACCTTGTATAAAATTATCTAGTGAGTAGCCATGAAGATCCCTAGACTTAAGAACAAAACAAAACAAACAACAACAACAAACTAAAAAAAAAACACTTTATATTTCATTATTCGGTTACTTTCATGTTTTGTAGTAACATAATTTAGATGATTTCAGGAGTTGGAGCTGCTTAATCTTGTCAGTATCAGGTAGGAGAAGGTAATACAATAAGCCAGATGACCAGCTCTGTCTTTTAAAGGGAGGATCCTCTTTCAAAGAGGAATAAAGAAAAACCACGAGTCTTATAACTATTTGAATCACAGGGCATTCTTAAAGAGTTTCTAGGTTTGCCATATAGTGGGATTTAGATCTCAGAGACTAGACCATTTTAACTCTGGAAAGAAGCCAAAACTACTTTGGTCCAAGTACGCTCATAGAGATGATATCAAAAAATCTTTCTGTGTTTAGGCCTAGGCATCATCTGCCCCAAAATATTGGATATTTAAGTGGATATGACAGATAAATATAGTGTAGCTCGTTGCCTATGGCAGATTGGCCAATTCATTGTTACTCCAGGGGAGTAACAATAGCAAATTCCATCTCTTTCTATACAAATCAATAGAGAAAATTGATATTCATTATCATCTGTTGGCATTTGCTTTGGATTATAATTTGCCCCTTTATTCTTTTACTTTAGAATTTATAATAAGCTTTTGTTTGATTGCTTATTTTTTGCTAACAGATAATGGGTTAAAAAGGCTATGCAAGTCAGTATTTCACCCAAAAGGCTACCCAATTTAAAAAAATAAAGAGCCATTTTATGTAATCAGTGGCTTGCAATATGTTTTGAGTGTTGCTTTCCTAAGTAATAGCCTTTATCTACCTCTTTTTTTTTTTTTTTTTAATAAGTTGTAAAGGCAGAATCAGCAATGTATTAACTGTTTTGTAGAATAGATGATAAAATAAATGTAGAACAAATTGGCCCCATATTTTATCTCTCTCCCAAACTCTCCATGACAGGTTGCCAGTAGATTTTGGTAGGAAGATGATTTTGATAGATAGACTGGTAGATTTTTCCTAATATGGGTGCTGGATAATTATTCAGAATATGTTCACTTTGGAACGTATTCTGGAGAAAAGTATACATTAAAGAAATAGCAAATTGTCTACTATCAAACTAAAGAAAAAATGAGCATTGTGAGAACACTGTGCAAATTAAAGTGTCTTTGATATGAAATAGCTAATCAGACATAGAGATACACTTGCATAAAAGGTTGGAAGGAAACAGAATGTATCATGAGAGAGTGTGGCAAATCCACATCAATATCTGATTTTCCCTAAAGTTCAAGAATGTTTGCATTTAGTGATCCTATTCTGGTTCGTTTTAATTTTAAACATACCACTCTGAATCATACCACCATTACTTATGTCCTCATTCTGCAAATATTTATGTTATTATCTATAGACTGTTGAGCAGTTTGTAGAGTTTATTCATTAATGTCAGGTTAAGCAACTTTTGTAGCCTGTACAAAAGTATATGTCCTGGTACTCTTTAAAAACTAGTTTATACTCAAGAAAAGTATGTAATAAATGTGAATGAAGTATTTTGAAAGGAGCCAAATGTTATATGCAGGCATGTAAATAATTCATGTTTTAAAAGTTATATATATATAAAACGCACTGTGTTTACAGTTCATTAATTTTACTATTATTATTTTCCATATATTTATGGAAAAAATTGTAACTTAATTAAAATCTTATGTATACTATCCATATATTTATCTATATGATTTTTAGCTATAAAATAATTAAAAATACTTAGAATGCATTTAACGTATGCTTTTTAATCGCAGCTTGCATTATATTAATTCCACATTATTATTATGAGCAAGCTCATTCTGTAACATTCAAAATCCATTTTCTGTACCAGTGTTCTGGATACTTCTTTCCGTAGCCTTTGAAGGGAGTTAGTTGTACTGTGTATGTTCCTGAGATATCTGTGAATAAGTACTGTAATATGAGCATAAATTCTGAATGGTCTACAGCAATGTTTTTTGCATTTTTTCTTTAAGTAGTGTAGGGATATAAAAGTGATGTCTGCGCAGAGACAGTGATCATCATTATTGCATTGTTTGGTCTGTAAAGATTACAACACTGAATTCCTGGTTCACATGGATCAAACAATTAGCAGTGATAGAATGTTGGAGATCATGAGCGTTAAGTGAAAGCTCTATTATCCTTGCTATCCTTCCAAACAGAAACAAGATTAATTTTCTATCCTGAAATACTGAAATAAAAAACAAATTGTTAACTACATTGTAGATTATTTTACAACTATCTCTTGACACACTACACTGGAATACTGTTCACTGTGACAAAATGACATCCGGCTTCAGTATTATACAGCTGTAATTAGTCCCAATATTTCCCATTTAAACCTATTAAATTAACCTAGAATTAGGAAAATGAGAAAGTCCCTGAGTATTAGTAGTATTTTAATAGAACGTAGTAATATTTTTAATAGAACGTATGCTGAGGTTGAGGTCATCTTATTTCTATAGCAGACAGTAAAGATTTATCCACTCTTCAAAAATGTAATAGGACATAGGACTTTTTCTTAGGCCAGGTGGTAACTACTAGATCTCTGTTTGGAAAGTCCTCAAAAGTCCTGTGACTCTTCTTGGACCATTTTGGTTCACTCCCCTAGATTTTGTGCAATTTTTCCTGAAGTGTCTAGGTTTTGCCTCGGTGGAGCAAAGAGATAGGCAAAAGAACAAGGACACAGATGCAAGTGTTACACCGAAGTCTGGTAGAAATTATCTGGAAATGTTATCTAATCCTCAGTTCTCCATTCATTGTTTGCATTGCTTTGATGAGATCCTTCACCTCCAATGGGAAAGGTCCTGGTTTCATGACTGTTCTGTAACGCATGGTATTTTTTTCCAATGTACTTCAATTCACAATGCAGTATCAGGTTCCCAAACTAAGTTTGTAATGTGCCAGTGCTGTTCAAGTACTTTAAGAGAAATAATAGTACTGAAGCAGAAGGAAAAAGAGAAATAAATTTGTGGAGATCTTGAGAGATGGTGATGTAATGTAGCTAAGTGCATAACCACTTACTAGTCTTTTTCTTGCCATTTTATTACAACAATCATATTTCATTATGGTGAGAATGCTGTCATCAGAGCAGACTGGGCATATTTTTGAAATTTCTACAAGGATTTGACTTATATAGAAGAGTTAAATATTTATTTCTGCTGTTATGTGTCTTGTAGAGTAGTTGTAGAGTTTAGTGTACAAGTTCAGTGCATTTGAAGATTCAGATCTGTAATCTAGTACTGTGCAGGGAGGGATCTGTATGCTTATGGACAGTACCACCAAAGGTAGTGAGAGGTTTATAAATGCTGTATCCTTGCCTGTTTGTTTACAGGATCATACCTTAGAGACCAAACTCTGCACTATCTGAATCTGTGGAAATGTTCCAGTCATATGTAATACTAGCTCAAGCAAATGTTAAACTTCCCATTGCTTGTTTAAGCAAAGTTCCTGCCTGCACATTGGTTTGGACAATGCAGAAAGATCAAATTGTATTTGATTTGTTTCCGTATTGGAATTATTAACATGTACTCTTTATACATGGAGAATACAACACTGAAATGGCTTAAATTCAAAAGAATGTAGGATAGTTTCTCAACTTCTGCCATTAGAAATTGTATACGCTTGCAATCCTTGAAACTGGAGTAAAGGAACTAGTACATTATTTTTTTTATGTTAAAATCAAAAGTTTTATATTTTAAAGGTAGATTTCAACATCTTATGCCTTCATTGTGGGGATAGGAGGAGTTATGCCTTGATCTGGGGGGGGAGAAGGAGGTGAATCTGATTAAATTTATTGGGATTAGTAACTGAAAATTGTATCTTTTATTTATTTACTTGATAATTGCCTTAGTTACTGTTTGCTTTCTTCTGAAATGGTCAGTGTTTGTTTGTTTGTGTTTTTCCAAAGGGGTAGTTGTAGTATTCTGAAAAAATAATCAAATAAGTTTAGAATGAAAACACAAACTAAATGGTTAATTTTTTATTTTTTTATCTGCAAGTGAAAAATACAGCAAATTGGAGATCTCCAAAAAACAGTGTAGAACATTCACTTCTGAAATTATGTTCCTTTGGCAAGGTGCATGGAAAAGATTTGGAAAAAAAACATCAGTGCTGGCAAAATTTGTAGGAATGTCGGAAAAAAATTTGAAGTGTTGGCACCAGAATTCTTTAAAAATCCTCACTTATTCACATGTGAAATGAAAGTAAAAAAGCATCTGTCCTCTTTTATGCTCACTGACTAAATAAAACTGAATAATTATATTTAGCAAAGTATGAAATTTTCTAAAGAAAAGAACTCTGTCTGCCTTTGACTTTATTTGTTATTGTTCCACTATGCTGAAATATTATGGTTAAATATGAGCATATTTTGAAACAAAAGAAAACAAAAAAACACCCACAGAATGGTGAATATAAAGGAAAAGAATATTCAAGTTTTGGAAGATGATGATCTTAGTTAAAACTTGAAATTCTGAAGACTATATGTTGTTAATGCAATAGAAAAGATCTTTAGATCCATATGAATTTTGTCACTCACACAAGTATAGGTGAATTTTAAGATCCTAGACAATTTATACCACTGGAACAGTTTTGTTCTCTCACATGGAATAGGCATTCTTGTTAGGGTCCTAATCTTATAAACATTTAGTCATGTTGAAATTTTAGTGTGTTTTACTTTTTCATAAACCGGTTGAGCTGCCATTATCTGTAATATTTTAAGGTACTTGGCTGTTTGAAGGATCAGAAAGATTGTTAAGAATTATAATCTTTATTTATTTTATTTGCTTAATTTGTTTAATTTTTGTTCTATGACCAAATGTACCTATTATTTAATGAAAACAAATAGGAACCTTAAAACAAAAATGAAAATCAGTCTTGTGTGGCTCAGTAATTCTTGTACTTTTAAAAAGGATAATATAAGAAATCTATTTCATGATCTCAAATAAGCATTTTTGTTATTAATTATGATGAAAAATTACTTTGATCTCTTAATTCCCTTTAATATATATATATTTACCATGGGTGTACCATCGTACTGTTTGTTTATTGCGATCATATTTGTTTCACACCCAAAGACGTTAAAAGTAAGAACTAGATACATGATATCATTACTGTGATTTACAGTCAGTAGAATTCCTAATTCCTTTGGTCCTTTATGTTGAACAGTTCGGGCCGTGGTACTTGCCTTGATAATGAGCCTCCCAAGCGTGACTTTCTTTATCCAGCTGTGGCCCCAGGTCAGGTGTATGATGCTGATGAACAGTGTCGCTTCCAGTATGGAGCAACATCCCGTCAATGTAAATATGGGGTAAGAAGTCTTAATCCTTATGCTGAGTGTTCTTCTTAGTCATTTGTATATATTCCTTTATAGCATAATTTTTTAGTTAGTTGCACTAGTGGGTTACACATTTCTGACAGCATTCTGTCTGGTGCCATCCTATGTAAGCAAAGGGTACATTTTAATCCTTATGCTGCATCTTTTGCTTGAGTCATTTGCACATACTGTACACCAAAATGTGTGGGTAACAATGAGCTGGAGAAGCATTCTTGAATGTTAGGAGAAAAAAGAGCCCAGAACACTTGATCCTGCTCCTTGTAAACTGTGCTACATGATTTTCACTTATTTCAGTTAAATGAGATCAGGTTCATGCTGTATGAATCTTAAAACATGAAATCTGTTTTGTTGGCTTTAACTTCAAAATGTAGCTTTACATTGAAAAGTTACTTTTGTATTTGTATTTTGCTTTCATTTTCTTTTATTTTTTGATGACGAGTTTGTTGTTTTTCACATTCTTCAGACCTCTTTTTGAAAAGAAGAATAATTGGTAATGGGAACAGAGGAACTTAAAGCTAGGTAGCTAAATAAAACACTGAATAGCTTAGTGCTTGCAAAGATTTGGCTGTAAATACCAGTGTGCAGTATTGAAGGTAAAGAAATTTGCAGTCAAAATAAAAGCCTGCGCACTTAATATTTCAGTACATTATGCAATATATTTTAAAATATTATTTAAAGAAAATCTTACAGCCCAAAATGCATAGTAAAAGGATCCATTCCATAATGCCTGACATCAAATAATCAGCTGATTAAATACTCTAAATAAAATAAACCTTGAAAACACGTCTAATGATTAAAAAATACTGAGTTTTATTAGCATTTTAATGATAAGACTATTCAAATAAAACAATGTAACCACTAAATTTACTCTGTTCACTTCTCTAAAGCTAGTTATAAAGGAAGTCTATTTTTAGTATCCCTTGGGTGATAAATACAGTATTTTTCTTGGGACGCCTCTTTGGTAGGTTGCACTGTGGAAAGGATTTTCAAAGCTATATGTAGTTGGTTGATTAGCTTGTTGGGTCTTCTATTCCTGATCCTCATCAAACCTCTTTTAGCCTTTATTGTTCCTCTGTAAGTTCTTACTTCCCACCACTGTTCTCTAAGGGCCCTGTTTCCTGTTGCTAAATCTAAGTCATGTCTCCCCCCCACCCCCTTTTTTTTTTCTTACAAACTCTCAGCACACAAACTATTTATTTTAAGACATCTGTATAAGTATTTATTTTAAGAAATCTGCAGGTATTTAATCCATTATTTATAATGGTATTTAATCCATTATTTATAGAATACCCTTTAGAGATACTTTGCATTTTAAATTAAACTGGAAAGTTAACAATGTGCAAAACCTGACTTTTTCACATGTAAATTATTTTTTTGAAACAATGTTAAACTAAGTAATCATTGTTGTGATGATCATTCTGCACAGTACACATGTGTTTCTAAATCAGTTTCTAAAATGTCAACAATCGAAGGTACTAAAGATGTAGGTAATCTTGTCTATATAAAGTCTGCTTTCTTTTTTGTTTTAAATATTTTTAGGGGATTGTTTCATAGTTACAAAAAAGAGGTTGAAACTTAATTGAGGTAATAGTTAAAAGTGTTCATGTAGCATCACCAGTCCTCTGAGTTGATGCAGTGTGCTATATGCCATCAGTGTGAGCATGACTTAAGTGTCTCAGAAAAAAAATAACCTATTTTTAGTACTAGGATTCAGACTTTTCATATCTATATAACAGGTTATTGTAAAAGTCTTATAATATCCAATCTAAGAAATTATATAAATTTAAAATATTGTCTACATTTAAAAATATCATCTGCCATGGTCATAATACTTTGGAAATCTCATCATGATGATCATACAGATTTGAAGTGATAACATTGGAGGGAAAGAAATAGTCTTTGTAAGTGAAATGCAGATGGAAAATACAGAAGAAAGACTTTTCTTGTAAGAATGGGTTTGTAGAACTGAGTAGTGGAACTAGATTGAAATACCAGGAAAAGTTAAGCTAAATATTATATTCTACTCTTTCATTATCAAAAGTAAACAGACAGTAGTCTGAGTGTTCCTGTTTGATATGATGTCTACACTAAAATGCTGTAAATAGTTCATTGATCTCATTCTAACAAGTGTGCAACCATGAACTGAAAAACATAATAAAAATCACTAATTAACAATGGATCTGATTTGTGTATTAACTTCTGTCTGGCAGTCATTCCTCTCTATTTGAACTGCCTGGTAAAAAAGGAGGGGGTACAGCATGATGTACAGTATGGGATTTAACGACCCATAAATAAATACATTCTAAAACAAAGGGAAATCTCAGAGAAAATTTCTTGCCATTTTCTCTTGCTCATGTTCTTTATTGATTTGTGATGGCAAGACATGACAAGAGAAACTATTGAACTCTCAAGTCAAAGCAAAAAAAAAAAAAAAAAATAAGTCTCCTTTGGACTCTGATACTAGTGTTAAGATGGTGTTTGTAACATGACTTAGAAAATAGTGATGGTCTTTCTGCTTTGAAATTCTGTCCTAATGTCTTATAAGCCTCTAGAAGAATTACCTCTTTCAACCAATCAGCTTTGATGATCAACGGTATTCATTGCTTGTTCTCCCATATTTCCTCATCTAGTCCCTCTCTATGTGTATTTCAAATGCTTGTTACTTTTGGTCATAAATTAGGTCCTAATCCTGCCAAGAATTTTGTATATTTAAGTACTTAAAGCTTTCTCTCTCACTTAGGAACTTGAAGTTAATACCTGGAGAGGTATTTGAATGTTTAAGCCATGAGAGCTCACTGCTAAAGGGTCTGCAAGACCCTGATTTTCTGTGTGTGTGTGTTTACTGACAAGGAGTTTTGCCTTTAAAGGCATCTCTTAGGAAGTTATACTGATATTAGTGTTATTACTAGATCTAATGAAACCATCTGTTTTAGTCACTTATGAGCAAAACTGTTCCAGCAAAAGCATTGCAGTTGTTAGTCAGATTTCCTTATGTTCTTCAGCACATTGTGTGGCAAGAATTCAAAGTGCTGTTTTAGCATATCAGTGATTAACTGTTTGCAAATAGACAGTGATTTTTTCTAATGTCACATTTTTTACTGTTCTTTATACTTTCCACAAATCTATGATACAGGAGCAATTTAGATAATTTAATTGAAAAAATAAATACTTTTAATAAAGAACTAAGAGGCAATCTCACAAGATACTTAAAATACTTCATTTTTAAGCTACAATTTCAGATAGAGTGTTAAACTTATGACTTCGAGTAAAACAAATTGTAATGGTAGAAATTTCACCATATAATGCTGATGCATACCATTTTCTACAGGCATACATGTTTTCAAGTATCTTGTTAGATAGAGCATAGTCAGAAATTATCACAGTTGTTAGGAACAATACCAGTTCCTGTTCATTTATGTAGCTGGATTTTTCTCTCATTACTGTCAAGATGGCTCAGTTCTTCTCCGCTTGTGTTCCAGTTCCCCTGATAGTTCAGAAACTTACTCAATTTGTTTACTCAGGTGAGTGTGAGGAGAACATCTTTTGTTGACTCCTTACCTTATTCACCTTTGAACATCTGCCTAATAAGAGTTGCCTGTCTCTGGGTTAACTCAGGAAGGAATTCCAGTCTTGACTTTGAGTTTCTGTTTTGTGAGTTTAAATAATGCCTGGAATATGCCTGACTGTAACTTACGGATTTTGTGGTTCAAAATAATGCTTTGCTTTAGAGCTGGTCCCCATGTTTTTAGGACAGGGACTAAAACCTCAGACATTTTAATTGCAGTTAATACTTTATGCATATGGTTGATATTGTTGTGGTGTATTTTATGATCTGTGAAGCTGTTGGCTGCTAGCATGAATTTCAGAGAGACTGCCTACAATTCTTGTTAAGAATTCTTTTTTTTTTTTTTTTTTTTACATTTTATGCTTTTTCACCTTCATTGGTGTCTAAGTGTTTGGAGTAAAGGTGTAACAGGACAAATGCTACGTTCCTTCTTTGAGCACATGGCTTCACTCAGATCAGGAGGGCCAATCTATTTGTATTTTACACTAGAGTTTAAGACATCAGGTTATATATTCTAGCTGATGACATGCAGCTCTCTTCTTTTTCATGGTCTTATGTTTGCAATGAAATTCTCCAGTTAGTGTCCCAACTAAAGTAACTTAAAATTCAGGTACCAGTTTTTATTCACATTTTGTTGCTGCGTTTTGAAGGACAGATAAGTTCAAGCTATGAACTTACTGCTTATAAACAGGAAGAATGAGGATACATTCTCAAAATTAAGAGTCCTCCTTCTGGCTTCAAGTGATCCCCTTGATTTATTTTTAATGAGTTATGAAGAGTGTTCATAAAGCTAATGACCATTAATAGAAAGTTGCTTGGAAAGTATGTACCACAGAAATAAAGGATATGCAGTCACTATACCTTCACTGCTTTGTAGTTTCCTACATGCCAGTTCAGAGACAGAATAGTGTAACTGTATTATGAATGAGCAAAAGAGCTAACTTGCCTCTCTGGTCAGCTGACAAATGCAGGAAAGTAAACAAACTTCTATACAGAGCAGTTCTGCAGTATTTCTTCTAGCCTAAATTACAGTTGGCCCTTGTAAATTTTAATGTTAGTGAATTAAACTGTCACTGTTTTCATGAAACCCTGATATGATTTACTCCACCTAAATAAAGAGGTATTTAGCTTGACTTAGAGCTCTTGTAGGTAGGTAAAAACCCTTTTATTTATTTATCTATTTACTTATTTATTTGCTTTTTCCAAAAAGCAAAGGCAGAGAAGCCACTGGTGTATCTTTACACTAGATTACCAGGTCCCTTCTCTTTCCTCACTCATTGATGCTATGACAAGTATTGTGCATTCAATTCAATTTGTACATAATGCTAACTCACTGAAAAGTGCTCTTTTTCCCCCCTTGACTTCATACCATGGCTAAGTCACTTTATACAGTGTGCTTGCTAGCAAT